ACCCTATGGTTGACACATGGTGACCCTACAAGACAGGGGAGAACTTCCCCCTGTGAGTTTCTGAGATGGCAAATCTTTTCAAGAGCAGAAAGCCCCATCCGTGTGGCTGCCGGTTGTGAACTGTCCATCTTGCAGATTACAACCTATCGTGTCCCCTGGGAGAAAACCTAGTGGCGTTTTCTCAGCTAGTCAGCCACCACCACTTCATTTCCCCTGCCCTCCCCCTCCGCATATCCCTTCAGGGAGTCCCTTACCAAGCGACCCAGTGTGGGAATGAGCTGCAGCTCACAGCACGCGGCCAGCAGAGCCACTGCGTTGTCTGGCATCTCTGCAGGAGACAGAAATCATAGTCAGTTTCCAAGCAAAAGCCCACAGCAACAGAGCCAGCCCAGCCTGGCATTCACAGTTTGCCCAGCCTGGCAGAGTGGATGTTCAATACCTTCGGAACCAATGAATGAACAGTGCTAAACAGGCAGGAAAGGCCTTTTTGAAAAGATGTAGGCGCTGAGTAACCAGCTGGAGGCTCACCGGAGGCTCCTGCTAGGAATTGTGTGCCAATCAAGAAATCTGCAGACTGGGGGGACCAGGGAATCCGTGGGCAAAAACAGAAAAAATCTGGGGTTGTGACCAGGAAAGGCCTACATTTAACCCTACCATCTATGAAGGTGTGACCTTGGATAAACCTCTTTGAACCTCAGCGCCCTCCTTTGATTGCCTGCAGGTTTGTCTTTGTCTCTCAGGGTGCTGTGTACATTAGAAAGGCACCCATGATTTGGGGAGAAAAGTGCAGAGGGGTCTGTCCAGAGATGGCACAGCAGAACTGAACCAGGATCATCCGGGGCCCCTGGCCCACCAGGAGCCCATTGGGAAGTAAGTGCACAAGGACATCAGTGGTAGAGGGAGGCGGGCGGCAAAGAGCCATGAGGCCGCTGCACCGGAGGGTCCTGCCAGGCGCTGCCCTGGGAGAAGAAATGCAGGTCAGGATTATTCAGGACAGACTCCAAATATCTCCCAGGGAACAACAGATGCCTCCCTCAAAGCTACCCCCAGCATCCCCTTGGGGAATCAACAAGTCACCCTTTGAACTTCAAAAGGCAAAGAGAACAAGCATTAGCTGCTGAGCCGTCTGGCCCAGGGAAGCTTCTGGACTCCGGAAACCTCCTGCAGTCATTGGCAGCCCTATTTAGAAAAGGCTGCAGCCGCCTAAGGCCAGGGGAGGCTGTGCCCCAACAGGTTCCAGGAACCCATGGTGGCTTGCTCCCAAGGGAAAGCAAGCCTGCCAGGAGGGTGGGCCTGAGGACGACTTCCACCGAGAACCCCCCAGAGCTATATTCAAATATCACCCTCTCCTCCACCACTGTTTTTGGTTTCTTTTTAAATAAGCTTTCAGGCCCTTACCCGACACCAGGCATGTGGAGATGGAAAGTCCACGTAGCCGTAGACAAAGTCACTTGGGGCATAACCTCCCAGACTCAGCGCTAATAAAAATGACTCCTTCTACAATAGGTTCTTCTGAGAAGTGGGTGCCCAGACGGGCGGCTAAGCACAAGGCCAGAGGTGGGAGGGGGCGTTAGAACTGGTTATGATGATATGCCACTCTTTCTAAAAGCGACTCACCTATGGAAGCGTGTGACAGGTGACTATTCTATCAAGAAATCTACTAAAACAAAGGAGAAAAGCTAAACCTGACCTGTGGGTACCAGGGGTGAAGGAGGAAGTTTGGCTCCCGGGGAGCGGAGTCCCTTTTCCTGGTGGTGGAGCCACTGGGAGAGGGAGCGCAATGCCGGTTGCACACACGATGAGTAGAATCAAGACCCCCGAATCACACGGGTAGAAGGTGTTGGACTGGAGAACGCGTTGCTGTATGTATTTTTGCCACACTTGAAAATAAATAATCACATAAATAACGAGTCCAAGGAAGAAGAAAATGTTCTAAAATTGTGGCGATGATTGTATAACCCTTCTTGACATGACTGAGCTATCGAATTGTATGATATGTGGATGAAATGCCAATAAAACTGTTAAAGACAAGCCTTCTTACAAGATGGGGGCTCTGGCTGTCAGGCTTCCTGAACTCAGAGTCTGACTATTACACTGCGAGCCTGAGCAGGTCTCGCGTGGAGTTCCACAGGACTGTCTGATGTCATGTCCCAGCCAACCAGAGAGCTTTTATCTGTCAGCACTCCTTCATCAGGGATAAAGCTGGGAGAGTCATTCTCTCAGGTTAGTCCTTTAGAGATGGAAGGCTCTGGGCCTCAGCCTGTGGCTGAATGGAGGGGCTTGGGGAGGAATCCTGAATGTATCAGGGGGCTGTACTCCGATCATCCTGAAGGGAAGCCGTGGGGATGACGTGGCTGGTTCGCCACCTCATACTGGGCTGAGAAGGAACTGAAAGTCCAGCTTCCTCATAAAAGGTGGTCCTCTCCTCGGGCCACAGATGCCTGGGGCCTGAGCTTTAGAGAAGCAGCCGGGTGGGGGCTCTGAGGGAAGGACTGTGAGGTTACTGTCAATCCACCGCTCCAGGCAACAGGCCCTTGAGGGGCCCACTTCGTGGGGAAGTTGGGGAGCCGGCTGGGCCCAGCCACAGCTCTGCCTCGGGAGAGTCTCAGGACCTGCCCAGGCCTGGGCAGTGACAACCGGACTGCACGGGGCCTGGGAAGGTCAGTGTGCAGGCCAGCACGCAAGGATCAGGGAGCCGAGAGGCGGGGCAGCTTGCAAGGGAATCACAGACTGTAAGCATTTTAAAACGTGTTTTCCTGTGTTGGTGAGGGGGTGTGCCCACAAGAGCCCTCCCAAGGGCCCTCCCAGAGGCGAGGAAGGACCCCTGGAGCGAGCCGAGGAGGCTTGGGTGAGCAGGAAAGCTCAGGCCTGTGGTTCTTGAAGGCCATCACGTGAACACCTGCAGCCTCCCACTTGGTATCTTCTCTGTACTGCTGAAAGGGTGGAACAATAGGTACCACGTCTGCCGCAATTGTGTCGTTTCTGTATTGCTCAAAGCACGCACACGACGCAAAGCGAGTTGTAAGTAACAGCAGCTGTCTCTATTCCCGCCTTTTCTTCTTCGTGTCTCTCTCTCTTTCTCTCTCTCTCTCTCTCTCTCTCTCTCTCACACACACACACACACACACACTTACCTGCGAGGGCACTGATCAAGAAGTAGGCAGTTGGAAGGAGCTCCTGGTTGTCCTGGGCGGCCTCCTGCTCTCGCCCCGCGCCCTGCAGGCTGCACCCCACAAGCTGCAGGAAGGCCGTGAGGTCCTGCTGCTGGGGGGGCTTCAGCTCCTCCAGGGCCTCCAGTGGGGGCGAGAGGCCCCTGACCATGTCATCAAACTGCAGGGGGGAGGGGGGAGAGTGGTGAGCCTGGGACATGGTGGCCCGTACCACCCCACCCCCATCCCCCTGTGCCTCAGCAGTTCCAAACCACCCGAAGGATGGACAATCACCCGTGTAAGATCCAAAGGGCTCCGCTATCAAAAAATATAGCGTCTGGGGTCTTAAAGGCTTGAAGGTAA